AAAGTGCCGACCATACGCCGCATCCTCAAGAGGCATCGAGCGCTGAGCAATGATGTCTGCCAAATACCAGATGAAGCGGAGGGTGTCAGGATGCAGGGTACCGTCCGTCGAGATGGCAAGAGGGATGAACGCTCGAGGAGGAGTAGTCATAGCATACGCAGCGCGATGTTTGCGAATCTTCTCAGACGCTGCAACATGGAGGGCGTCGAGGTTGACCTCCCCCCACTTGGTCAGGTCGGCAGAGCTACCAATGTAAGGGTGGACCAACGTCACGTCCGCCATCAAGCCCTCGTACTGCTCGGACCCTCGATCGCGGATTCCAGGGATGTGGATATCGCCCTTCATCTTGCGGCCATGAGGATGGGAGGGTACCTGCCGTCGAGAACGAGGATCCCCCACTGTATCGATGACGCTCTGAAGACCAGCTTCGTTCAGCATCGACCGAATCGTACGAGTAAGGTTGTCATGCGCCGTGGGAAGCTTGGAGGATCGGCGTTTGCAGGTCTGGAGATGATGTGCAGCAACGGAGGGATCGAGCTCGCGCTGACATCCATCACATTCCGTCGGACACTGGCAGATCGGCATGCCATGGAGATAGCAGTCGAGCATCTGAGCATAGCGGTGCGGGAAGGCCTTGAGGGGGTAGTAGCTCGAGACTCGCATCGGAGAGTGGCTCAGGTCTCGCTCAGGAAAATGAGCGAAGATGGTAGACTGCAAGACCCTATCCTGCGACTTGAGCGAGTGTGTCCTGCGGCTGTGCGAGGTGAGGATATCACGCTGCTGATCGGTCAGCGCAGCGCGAGCATGCACATGGCGAGGGAAGACGCGCATGACAAGAGGAGTCACATTTCGCTGCGCAGGGGGAGGAATGAAGTGCTCATGAGACGAGTCGACGAGAGCGCGCAAACCAGGGATGTGTACCACAGATGCCGGGGGGCGTCCTGCGTCATCAGGCACAGCAGCCGGGGCAGGTGGGATCGCCGCGCCATCTGCAGCCGGTGCAGGAGCCCTCACACGACGGTAGAGGATCGCTCCAGCATTATGAACGAAGTCGTGCGCCTCAACGAAGAAGGTCGCCAGAGGATGCTTCTGGGCACGGAGAGATCTCGAGCAGTGAACGTCCAGGCAAGCGAGGAAGCGAGCGATAGCCGTATAGTAAACAGCGGGGTGTAGACCCTCAGAGGGCGTGAACTCGTCCCCTCCCCGACTATGCGGAAGCTCCCGCTTGAACCTCGCAAACTCTAGCAGGTCGGGATGCGCGGCGAGGTACTGCGAGGAAGGCCAGCGGTGGTATTTCTCAAGCGCCAGGTGGACAGAGAGGTCAAAGCGACGAATCTGTGATTGGACCCGCGGGAGAAACGGAGATGACCCCTGGAGGAAGAAGCGCAGCTTCTGGAGATGGCTCGCCCTCACCAGCGTCTTGAACATGAAGCCATGCTGGACGAGCCCGAGCTTCGAGAGCTCTTCGTTGAGGGTAGAAACCTTCGCTCGGAGCTGACTAGCATGAAATCCATCCGTGCCGATAGGCAGGCCGCCAAGTGTAATCCCGCCAGTGACGACCTCGAAGTGAAGAAGTTGAGTCTTGAGACGGCGCTTAAGGCTCTTCTTCAGCTGCGAGAGATCAGGGTGCCAAGTTGATGCCAGGAGGGGACAGCAGCAAGCAGCAGCAGGCAGCAGCAACTTCGGCGGTTATCTCGGAACCTGCAGCTGCCGTTCCCTCAACAGCTCAGTGCAGTGAAGGAGTCGGAGCAACCACAAAGGCGGCGACGGCGGCGACGGCGGCGGCGGCGGCAGCAGCAGAGACAGCCTCAGCCACCGCCACAGCAGCGACCACAACCAAGAGGGCCGAGGCACCAGCAGCCCGCGTCTCAGGGGGAGCGGGCCTGTTACTTCGCCGCGACCTCTCCTGTCTCTCACCTCTGCGTACGAGCGCCAAAGACAGTTGTCGATTCGCCAGTTCTCCGCGGGTGACCTTCATCGGGTTGTACGGACGCTGCTAAGCTCAGGCAACTACAAGGCTGACAATCTTGCTGATCTTCTTGCTGAGGCACAAGCGAAGTTCCCTGCTGGTCCATCGCCTGCCTTTGGAAGTGCTTCCGCGGCTCATCTCACCCAGCAGGCGCTTACGGCCCTTCGGAGCAGGATCTGACTGACATCCTGCCTGATCCAGGCGATGAAGCGCTACAGCTCCTTTGCGGGGACCGATGACCAAGGGTGGAGGATTCGGCAATACCTGTCTCCCCTCCGAGGCTGATCAGCCAGACCTTCTGATTCCTGCTCAGTACTTCCTCTTGTCTCACCCTGCTTGAGGCACTTTTTACCTTCTGCCAGTAAATCCATATACACTCGAGCGATTCAGTTCGGACTGGATCGAGACGGCTGTCTGAAGTTCTCGCAAACCGTGTCCGCGCTCCTGCCTGTTCATACTCGCGGTGATGATGAAGATGTCGCGAACCCCACAGTGCTTGAGGCACTTTTTACCTTCTGGGAGTAAAACTCAGTTGTCTGACAGTGCTGGTGAGTTTGGATGCAAAGAACGCCTTCAAATCCCTCGACTGCCAAGCTCTCTTCGACTCCATCGAGGGAAGGGCGAGTTGCAACTACTTAGCATCAGCGAAGGTGCAAGCTTGCCGTCTTCCGAGCCTCTCAGTCCGGTTGTTCGCCTCCTATCTCTCCAGCTCCTATGGAGACTCTGCTGACCTTTGCCGAGTCAGCTTCCCTTGTGTGCAAGCAGGTTTAGCTTGTTCCTGCTTTGTTTTGCTTGAGGCACTTTTTCCCTTATGCGAGTAAAACTCTGTTCCTGCCCTTCAATGTACTTCGGGCGTCTGTCAAGGCGATGTTCCCTCCAGCATACTCTTCTGCCACAGCATCCACCCACTGCTCCTCCTGGGCGGTTATCTGAGTTTTAGCAACAAGCAAGACCGGCAGGCATAGAGCACACAGCAACAAAAGCAGTGAACAGTCAAGGCGATGCTCAGCGAAGGTAGCCGAGTCAGCGGTAGCCGCCCGTGACGGCGGCGACGCCGCAGCAATGCCCAAGGACCGGCGTGACCCGACCGATGCCGGGGAGGAAGCAGGCGAGCTCGGACCAGCAGCAAGCAACCCTAAACCCTAAACCACCCCAGTGGTGTCGAGCTCTCCGGAGGCACCCGACGTCACAGTGAGGGACGGAGACGCCTCGCCAGCTCCGGGCGGCGCCGATCATCGGCGCCACTCTGGATGTTTCCCCCATCGGAGTCGGAGACCTCCGGCGAAGGGCGATGGATTTACTGGCAGAAGGTAAAAAGTGCCTCAAGCAAAACAAAGCGGCGAAAACTCCTCGGGCGACTCGACAAAGTCCGAGGAGGAGCTGTCCTCTGGCTCGAGAAGTGCTTGCGCCCGCTAGGGCGTCATGCGCCTCGCGAGGAGGACTACCTCGAGCGGTACCGTGTTCATGTGTCTCAGATGGATTTACTGGCAGAAGGTAAAAAGTGCCTCAAGCAAAACAAAGCAGGAACAAGCTAAACCTCCAGGCACACAGCGCACAGCGAGAAGCTGCACAATCACACACAAAACACAA